TGAAGACAATCCAGTGTTTAGTTCTTGAGATATCGCGGCAACACCGTTTTCCAACTCTAAAAGCAGATTTGTCTGCTGTGACCTTTAAAATGGGATCAAGGTCACCAAAACCGACTGGTGTCTGCGGAGTCTGTATATACACCATAGTTCCAAATATGAAGACAATCCAGTGTTTAGTTCTTGAGATATCGCGGCAACACCGTTTTCCAACTCCAAAAGCAGATATGCCTGCTGTGACCTTGAAAATGGGATCAAGGTCACCAAAACCGACTGGTGTCTGCGGAGTCTGTATATACACCAAAGTTCCAAATATGAAGACAATCCAGTGTTTAGTTCTTGAGATATCGCGGCAACACCGTTTTCCAACTCCAAAAGCAGATATGCCTGCTGTGACCTTGAAAATGGGGTCAAGGTCAACAAAACCGACTGGTGTCTGCGGAGTCTGTATATACACCATAGTTCCAAATATGAAGACAATCCAGTGTTTAGTTCTTGAGATATCGCGGCAACAAACAGGTGGGACGTACGTACGGACGGACGGACGTACGGACGGACGTACGGACGGTCGTGAATACTATATCCCCCGCTTCGCGCTTTCGCGCGGCGGGGGATAATTACAGAGAACAAAGTTGGTGATAAAACACACCCTTGGCATCTATATGCATATGCATCTTCCAGACACCCAGTACAAAACGCTTATTGAACAATATTAAAAACTCTGTCTCTCACACAGCGCTGAATGCTTACTGAATAATTTACAACTACCTCCTACACATTGCTGAACACTTAATGGGTAATGTACAACAGCTTCCATACACACTTCACTAAACGCTTATTGGATAAAAATATCTACAGCAGTGCGTGTGTTCTTTGTTGGAACATGTGTAATATTGAAGCGCCTGGGGGTTTACAGAGCTTCTCACATAGCAGCATAAATATGAACTGATAATTTGGAGATAAATAAGGGAATGGTTGATTTAATATACTAGCTTGGTTATACAACTCTTACCTAATATCTGAATACAACGGGCAGAGAGTACGGAAGTGACGCTCTTCCTCGATATCCATGAGATCACAGACTGACTGACTGACTGACTGATATAGGAGATTTAACGTGAGCTTTCCGACTGTAGCGTATTTCGCACTAGGGCCTGGCCGGGCCATTTAGTGTATTCCGAAAAGGGTGAAAGTGGTGTGTGCAACCCAAGAGGGGGCTTTTAGGGGTTGCTTATATTAAATTTTTGGAATTTTTAAATTTGGAATAAATGCCAAAGTGGGTGGAGGAGGGAACTAAGGAAGCCGGGTGAGGTGGTTGTTTGTATGTTTATTGGATTTTGGATTGGTAGATTAATGAGTTTCTAGATGCGCTTAATTATGAGATTACAACATTTCTTTCCTTTAAATGACCGAGTGAAAGTGGTGAAATCACACGCTCCGTAATCGGCTTCCAAAATAAACATATTTGGGGGCGTGTCTTGAAGGTACCGGTGTTGCGGTGTAATGATAATAATAATAATAATAATAATAATAATAATAATAATAATAATATAGTTTATTAATGTGTCATGTGTACATAATACACCTGGCCATTACTGGCCTAAAAGACACCTAAAATTATACAATCAATAAAATACATAAATAAAACATTATAACTAATAATATCTTCATATGTATACAGCAAGCCCCCCACCCCATACAACATATGAAACACAAAATTATACATAAGGATATTGTTCACTAAAAACAGATATTTATATATTATGGTAGTTTGGATAGGCACTAACTACTAATCTACTTAATCACATTCTCTCACAAATAATGTACAACATATGAACACGGAATTATACATAAGGATATTGTTCACTTAAAAACAGATATTTTTATATTATGGTAGTTTGGGTAAGCACAAACGCCTTTTGCTGTACATAGTGTGCAAACATTGAGATAACTGGTACTGAATGTTCTCATTTTTAAGAAGCCACAGAAACTTTTCAAAATTCAATTAAATTTGTTTCTTGTATTTTAGCTATGTTAAATATAGATTGTCTGATATCTTTATAGAAGTTGCATTCTACAACAAAATGAAATTCATCCTCTATGGCTTGCTTGTCACAGAGAGTACATAGTCTTTCTGAAAGAGGAGTGATGGGCTTGGTATATCTTCCACATTTTATATTAATTGGCAGGTTACCACAACGCAATGATGCTAATACACTTCTATATTGCCTTGGTAGAGACATTTTAACATAATGGCATGTTTCAATTTCTTGTTGAAATAAGTTCTTAACTTGTTTCCATTTAAATTATTTTTGTCATAAAATAGATCTGAATACAACTTCTCTCTGTCTTTCTTATCCAGCTCCTGCAATGCTTGATCAAGGAACACTGGCCGGCTTGTGTTATTACAGTAATCGTATACAGTCTGGCCTCTGTTGGTGATAGCAAGCTTTTTAACCATGACCATAACCCTGTAGTCCCATGATGATTTCCGCCTTACTTACCACCTGTGAATGATACCTATTGTGTAGCAAACTGGTGCGCACGTTGGCGCTTACTTGTCAACATCAAGAAAACTAAAGTTGTGCACTATCGTCCCAGTTACATTAAAATGTCCGATTTTGTTTTTACAATTGGGTCTGACCAGGTTGAAAGTACTAACGCTTATAAATACCTAGGTGTTTGGCTACAGGAACATCTTGATTTGAATTTTACAGTTAAAGAAATATATAAATCTGCAAATAGGGCACTATGTGTTATAATTTGTAAATTCAAAGCAGCTGGTGGTTTAGCTTATAACATTTTTACAACTTTGTACAATAACTTGGTCCAGCCTATCTTATCTTATGGATCGGCAATTTGGGGAACTAAGGAATTTAGCCGTATAAATGCTGTCCAAAACCGAGCGTGTAGATTTTTCTTAGCAGTCGGTAGAAAGACTCCAAATGTAGCTGTCCGTGGTTAAATGGGCTGGACATCCTCATTTACAGAACAAAAAATTGAAATTCTTCGGTTCTGGCGCAGTTTGCATGCTGCAGATCAATCCCGAATGCTGAGTATTATTTGCAGATGGTCAGGAAAATTCTGTAGATCCTGGAATAATACAGCTTTCAACTACTTTGTCAGTTTACATTTACCAATTTATGATCTAAATAATATTTCTACTGAAGAGTTTAACTTGTCTAAAGTATGTCTGTTATCCTTAGACCATTCTGATTGGTTACATGGACTCTGGAACGATACGGGCCAGGTAAATGGTAATAAGTTACGTACATACAGATTATTTAAAGATTCTTTATCAGTAGAACCCTATGTCAGTTTATTGATGAGCAGATGTCAGCGCAGTATATTAAGTAAGTTTCGCTGCGGCTCACTGCCATGAGAAATAGAATTGGGAAGATTCACTCGCCCGAAAACACCGCTTATTGAACGTATGTGTAAATTCTGTAATTGCAATGCTGTTGAGGATGAAATACACTTTTTTGCTGAATGTTCTCTCTATACAGATTTACGCTATGATTTATGGAATTTAGCTTCTCAATCAACTCCAAACTTAATACAGATGTCCGCTGCCGATCAGACCGTGTTCTTTATGCGGAACAATAAGGTGGTCAGACCCCTAGCCGCGCTTCTTCACCACATGTATGAGCGAAGACAACTGTGTCTTTCGTCTCTACCAACCTAGTTCCATGTATCTTAGTATCAGAATGTTCTGATAACTGGTGATAACTGGTGATAACTCATTTTCATGTATATGTATGTACTGTGATATTTCTCATTTTTACTCCTATGTATGTGACGTCCTGCGTGTCTCGTAGGCCATAATGGCCGGACACTGTACACACTATTTGTGTATTTTTATTGTCACTGCTGTACGGTGTGTGACACGAAAATAAAATAATTTTCTTCTTCTTCTTCTTCCTATTATTGAATCTGGTTCGGCTGTGACAGCTCTATGAAAACATCTAAACACTTCAACTTGAATCTTAGTCTGTTGATTTCTCCATCCCATATCGCCTCATACAGCAATATTTGAACTATTTTTCCGAACAGGCTTTGTTTTGTATATGGTTAATTTCTTTATAAGTGTTCATACCCTACACACTGGCGCTGTAGTTGAGGACAGGTTGAACATAGCTGTCAAACAATTTAGTAAACACTTCATGACTTAAACCACCCATATTGTTGAACTTGGCTAGCACAGCCCCAAGGGCTCTATTTGCTGATTTACAAATTTCAGTCACAGTTTTTTTTGTAATTACAATGCTCATTCAGCCACATGCCAAGATACCTGTATTCCATACAGTAATCAATATTGATTTCACCACAAGTAAACTGGTAAGTTCCCATAGGGATAGATATAGGTCTGCAATGCATAATCTTTGTTTTATCTTTGTTTACTCCAAGTTTCCAATGTTTAGACCAGTCAGCGAGACCATTAAGAAGCTTCTGCATGTTATATTCATCCGGAGCTATGAGCACAATATCATCAGCATACAGAAATAGTGAAATGTTCAAGTTATCAATATTAATACCACATTTCAGGTCACTGATTTTATCTGCGGTGTAATGATGGGCGACAAAGGTGTTCATTGGCCGAAGTGTGATTCTTAGCAGTTATACATATGCTATTTGTGCTGTCTCTGTTAATCATACAAAAATAACAATATTGTATAAATTGTTGAATGTTTGAAACGCCACTTTTGATGTTGATATTGTGAATAATTACAAGCACAATCAACAATCTGTAACTAGTATTTAATTACAAACCGACTGTTGGGTATGACTTCATACTTGTCCAGCAGCTGGCCAAGGAATAATCCCTGTCATGTTTGTTTAAGCTGGGGGTCATATCATACACTATTCGGGACCGGCGGATGCTTGTAACACATAGATAACGATTTGCAACTCAAAAATACACAATAGATACGTTTTCACTTCACATCTTAGATTGACATCATTCACAGTCCAGCTAAAAGGAACAACATTGGGATAATCTTTACCTTGTGTCTGGTCGGCGAGAGGTTGTCTCTTCTCCCTGTCATAGGCATGGTCCAGGTTTCGAAACTTCTTTTTGGTTGGCATCACACTAGCTGGATTGTGATCGCAGTATCATCCTGCTTAACCTGCAGTATCTCAATGAATTTGTACACATTTAGATGCCGTCCACCGAGAAGATTGGTTGTTGTGGACCCTCTGCTCAGTGACATATTATTGTGCTTCATGACAAAGTCATCTTTGGTGTTAATGGTGGTCGGGCATCGTCCTTGTACTGTGGCCCATAAGGGACATGGAGTCTGTTTTTCAATATTTTGATATTTCACTTACTTTTATCATAACCTTTTGCAAATTAACAATTTGTCACACAAATATGTGATAAATCATGTCCCTTATGGGCCACCGTATCCTTGGGAACATTTCCAATGAATGGAACTGTTACATCAGTTCTTAATCATGAACTTGTATCCGGACCAAATGCTTAACCGTCATAGATTTGGTAATAAACTCTATATTAAACTGGGCATTCACCACAGTGAAATACTGTTTCTTATGTGTAATTCTTTTCATAGCCCAAGTCGTACTAAATTCATTCACTCATTGGTATATATTTTAAAAGTTTTCACTCAGTACAGTGTATGTGAATATAGTTAACCAATTTGTTGTGTAGTTGTATTTTGTGAGATATTCACTAATAAGTTGTGTCATATGTGGATAATGCTAGGGTGGTACTAGGCTGGTGTGGTATTAATAGTGGGATCTGGTGGTACTAGGGTTGGTGTGGTATTAGAAGTGGGATGTGGTGGTAGTAGGGTGGTGTGGTATTAATAGTGGGATCTGGTGGTAGTAGGGTGGTAGGGTATTAATAGTGGGATCTGGTGGTATTAGGGTGGGTGTGGTAGTAATAGTGGGATCTGGTGGTAGTAGGGTGGGTGTGGTAGTAATAGTGGGATCTGGTGGTAGTAGGGTGGTGGGGTAGTAAAAGTGGGATCTGGTGGTAGTAGGGTGGTGGGGTATTAATAGTGGGATCTGGTGGTAGTAAGGTGGGTGGGGTAGTAATAGTGGGATCTGGTGGTAGTAGGGTGGTGGGGTAGTAAAAGTGGGATCTGGTGGTAGTAGGGTGGTGGGTATTAATAGTGGGATCTGGTGGTACTAGGGTGGTGGGGTATTAATAGTGGGATCTGGTGGTAGTAGGGTGGGTGGGGTAGTAATAGTGGGAATCTGGTGGTAGTAGGGTGGGTGGGTAGTAATAGTGGGATCTGGTGGTAGTAGGGTGGTGGGGTATTAATAGTGGGTTCTGGTGGTACTAGGATGGTGGGGTATTAATAGTGGGATCTGGTGGTACTAGGGTGGTGGGTTATTAATAGTGGGATCTGGTGGTAGGGTGGTGTGGTATTAATAGTGGGATCTGGTGGTAGTAGGGTGGTGGGGTATTAATAGTGTGATCTGGTGGTAGTAGGGTGGTGTGGTATTAATAGTGGGATCTGGTGGTACTAGGGTGGTGGGGTATTTATAGTGGGATCTGGTGGTAGGGTGGTGGGGTATTAATAGTGGGATCTGGTGGTACTAGGGTGGTGGGGTATTAATAGTGGGATCTGGTGGTAGGGTGGTGGGGTATTAATAGTGGGATCTGGTGGTACTAGGGTGGGTGTGGTAGTAATAGTGGGATCTGGTGGTAGGGTGGTGGGGTATTAATAGTGGGATCTGGTGGTAGTAGGGTGGTGTGGTATTAATAGTGGGATCTGGTGGTAGTAGGGTGGTAGGGTATTAATAGTGGGATCTGGTGGTATTAGGGTGGGTGTGGTAGTAATAGTGGGATCTGGTGGTAGTAAGGTGGGTGTGGTAGTAATAGTGGGATCTGGTGGTAGTAGGGTGGTGGGGTAGTAATAGTGGGAATCTGGTGGTAGTAGGGTGGGTGGGGTAGTAATAGTGAGATCTGGTGGTAGTAGGGTGGGTGGGGTAGTAATAGTGGGATCTGGTGGTAGTAGGGTGGACTGCGATCCGCGACGCTCGAATGTTTCGAGTTTCATCCGAGAGATTGTGCTTGCCAGTCTTGTGGCATTGGGCAGAGCTTCAGCGTACTTTATAATTTACCGGGCGGTATCTAGCACCGAAAACGTTTGGCTAAAAGTGCATCACATTTGAAGGAGAATACGCCTAATCATTCTTGCTAACATCATGCCCACGAGCGATGTGGTGTGAGATACTCCAACACAAAAAATTGGTTGACTACGGATCACACACAATGCAGTTCGACGCTTGTAATTTACTTAATCCTGGCATAAGCCGTTGTGTAACACATCTCTCCTAATTAACCTTTTGTGATGATACAGGATTTACTGACGACGCCCTTTCCTCAGCACATTGTTGCGCTGTCAGGGTTGTTGATAACTCGGCCACTAAACTCACATGACCCAGGTCGTTCTGGGCTGCAGCGTCTTCTGGTCACAGTGTCCCGATAGCGCTCTTTGGCGTGACGTTGTACTTTATTCCCTAATGTATCCCTCCGTCACAAAGAGAGGACAAAGGCAGAGAGTCGAGAGAGCTTTTTGATAACCGTGCGTAACGACAATCACGACGATACCATATTTTAGTATTACTCTATGCAGACGATACAGTCATATTTTGCGATGCCCAATCTGGATTGCAAAAATCGTTAGATTCCTTTAACCAATATTGCTTACAATGGAAGCTAAACGTAAATATTTCAAAAACAAAAATAATAATCTTTGGAGGGGGTCCAGCCAAATCAACCAAATCAATATTTTATTTTGGGGGAAAGATACTGGAGATTGTTGATAATTATACATATTTAGGTATAAATCTTCACAGAAATAGACAACTTGTGTTTTGTATGAAATCACTAAGAGCAAACGCGACAAAAGCAATGTACTGCCTAATAAAAAGAGCACGAAATGTTAACCTACCATTAGATTGTTTATTGAAGGCGTTTGACGTGATGGTAGTGCCAATCCTTTTGTACTGCTCCGAAATATGGGGTTTTGAAAATTTAGAAATGATAGAGAAAATGCAATTGAAATTTTTAAAAATAGTAACTGGTCTGAGGAATTCAACACCTAATTTTATGGTTTATGGGGAACTTGGCAGGGAACCCCTCAAAATTAAAGTATTTAAACGGATGATTTCCTTCTGGCATAAACTAACGAATTATAACGGACCCACAAAGTTATCTAATATTTTATATAACTATTTGATAAAAGACTATGATGCAAACGCAAAATCGTTTAAGTGGATAGCTACAGTAAAAAAAATACTAAATGATGTCGGACTGTCAGAAATATTCATAAACCCGTCTATTTGCTCTACTTCATGGCTGGTTTCAAAGGTCGAGAGAACTCTTAAAGACCAATTTATTCAACAGTGGCGAGAATCTATTTTATCAAGTTCAAAAGGTTTATACTACCAACATTTAAAAGAATTACCAAAATTCGAAAAATTTCTATTACTTCCCAAAACTATCTACTTGCCAATTTTACAATTTCTCACATCTAATCATCATTTGCCCATTGAAACCGGCCGATGGAGAGGGTTACTGAGAGAAGACCGTGTCTGTACACTATGCAATTCATCTGCTGTTGGAGACGAATTTCACTATCTTTTTAGGTGTGAAGCACTTCTCCAACAACGACTTCTCTACATCCCACAGAATTGTTATATCTGGCCAAATATGTGTAAATTGCGTAAAACGTTATCACCTAAAAATATATCCACTTTGAAACATCTGTCCAGATTCATCATAAATTTGAACTCATTATTGCGTTAAGGTGTCTAATTTTATTTCTTTTGATGATGATGATGATGATGATGATGATTATTTTTATTACTTTATTTGCTTAATTTCTATTTATTTTAGGCTTGTTACCATCTTGATCTGCATTGTATATTATATGTTGTATATATATATATACTCTTGTACCACCGTTGGTGGTTTTTCAGAGAAATAAACTGAACTGTCAGGGTTGTTGATAACTCGGCCACTAAACTCACATGACCCAGGTCGTTCTGGGCTGCAGCGTCTTCTGGTCACAGTGTCCCGATAGCGCTCTTTGGCGTGACGTTGTACTTTATTCCCTAATGTGTCCCTCCGTCACAAAGAGAGGACAAAGGCAGAGAGTCGAGAGTTTTTTTTGATAACCGTGCGTAACGACGATCACCAAAGACCGTATCAACTTGAACGACAAACCTTGGATAGCACATATGGCCCCATATCTAGATATAAGTCAATGAATTTTCACTTGTTTTATCTTAAAAAAATCTAATCGGTCGTGTTTGAGCGTCTGCCTCAATCACAGTGGGCGGACCTTATTTAGGGTTGCGCTATAAATAGGAAAGCACATGGCCATTTTAGCATGTGACACATTAGATGCATTTGTGTTCAAAGTGTATTGTGGTGTATATATTTACCAGGGAACAACAGCACATCAGCAGTTTCGGTAAATGTAACAGCAACGATGCATAAATACGAAATTGACGTTGGTTACATAAGTATTAGCACCAAGATTCTGAAGTTCAAAAATCCGAAAATGACAGGTAACCTATTTGTTTAGTTTCGGATTATACCACACAATAATCAGATAAGATTTTTAAAACTTCAACTATTAGACAGATTTTTCAACTAGTGTTTTGGAAGAGGCCTAGTTTGAAACACCAGCGGTTGCGCCAATATTTCTTAACTTGACTACAGTATATGAATATTTCACGTGTATCAACATGACAATGCACAAAACCAACGGATAAATAAGTAACGACATAAACGTAGATGTTTTGACCTAGATTAGGCCTATCTTGATAATACAGTACTTTTAATTATGGATTTCCTTTTCTTTGACATAATTTTCACGCACAAAACTGAGTTTGATCATTTGATCCACGTGTGTCCCATGTATTATTTGTTCGGTGGATTTGGATACATGTCGTGCACAAAGTTGAAAACACAGTCTGGCATCATTTTCCGTTTTGTTCACAACAATTGTTTCCTCTTCTCCTTCGTTTAAGTCGGGTAGCCTAGTGGTTAAAGCGTTCACTCGTCACGCCGAAGACCCGGGTTCGATTCCTGACATGGGTACAATGTGTGAAGCCCATTTCTGATGTCCCCCGCCGTGATATTGCTCATTCACTCACTCCTTCTTTTAATATCCATATCTTCATGTCCAAGCATCTACGATCTCTCCAAGGACTTCTTCTATTCAGCTCAGTCCAGAAGTATTTGAATGGCTGTTTTCGAATCGACAAATTTCTGGAACTTGGTTGGCTACCATTTCCTAACCACGATTGCTCAAGAATCGGCACTGAATTTGTCAGAGTTTCTGTCGCAAGGGCGAAAAGAGAGGCGTCATCCTGTTGATTCGAGTTGACGGTCGGAATGATGTCATCTCCACAATAAAGTCATCAATGTCAGAATCGAAATTACCATATGCTCCCCTGATCATCTCGAACAGTTTTTCTGTCAAATTATACGTCACACGAAAATGGTTCGTTGCTCATATGAAGACAAG